GCCTAAGAATAGCATCAGTGAGCCAGTTCAGCCCAGTGTCCCCTGTGAAGTGGAGGCAGAGGGTCCCCTCTGGGGTCCATGTCCCTTTAGCTGCATTCGTAACCCACACTGGGCCCCAGGCTCTCTGTCCTCATGTCCTCCAGGCCTTGCTGGGCTGTGTTCCTGCGGGACTGAGGATAGGAACCTGCGCACTCCCCAGCAGAGGCCCGGCAAGCTGCTCAGCATCCTGGCTCCTGCCCAGGGAAAAGGGAGGGCCCACAGGAGCGGGTGGGTGGGGTGGGGGCAGGGCTGAGGGTTCACGGAGCCGAGAACAGGGCATGGGTCTACAGCCCCAGGCCTGGGAACCACCTTCCATCTGGCAGCCCGGCCAGGGAGGCTCATAGACAAGATCCCTGGGCTGGCCAAGGTGAAGCCTCAGCCCCCTTTGCCTCTGCAGGTCGGACGCCTCCCCGAAGAAGTGAGCCCTTCCCAGCACCCCCAGAGGACGGTGAGTCGAGGCTAAGGCTGGCCTCCAGGGACTCTGACTCCCCTAGTCCTCTCTCCCTGTGGGCCACCTCTCCTAGACCATCCCCCCAGGCCTCCCCTCTCCTGGCACGACCTCCAGCCTTTTTCCCTATGCATCTTTTTCCTCTCCCTGCCTAAAAGCACCTACTGTGTGCAGGACCCCGTGCAAGGCCCTGGTGACTGAGTGTGAGCAAGGTAGAAGGCTCTCCTCTCAGGGGCCCACACCCTAGTGTGTGCATGGTAGACAGAAGCCACACAGCCACACAGATGGGTCTGCCAGAGGGACGCATGCTGGGGAGGACAGAGAGAGAAGCCGTGGGGTTGGGGGGTCACTGCAGATGGGGCAGTCAGAGGCTCAGAGGAGGCCTGAGGGCCAGGTGAGGAGAGGGAGGGGGAAAAACCTTGTGGGGAAGGGAGCCGAACATGCTGGGGAGGACAGAGAGAGAAGCCGTGGGGTTGGGGGGTCACTGCAGATGGGGCAGTCAGAGGCTCAGGAGGCCTGAGGGCCAGGTGAGGAGAGGGAGGGGGAAAAACCTTGTGGGGAAGGGAGCCGAGAGGAGGGGCTGGGACTGGGGGCTGGGAGCAGGAGCAGGAGCAGGAGCTGGGGCAAGCCCCAGCAGAGGCCCTAGCTGGGGACTTGGGATTTAAGAAGGAAGAACATGATGTGCTCCATGATGGAGATGGGGCGGGGCTGGGGCACCCTTGTCCAGTTGAGCTTCCCTCTGCTCTACCTGGCTTCCCCTCAAGGGACCGTCTTCTTACTCCCCTTTCAAGGCTGCTTCCTACCAGCCTCTCCCTCCTCTACTTCCAGCTGCTCCCCTCAGCCCCTCTCCAGTCCTTGTGAGGTGACAGGATTGGCAGACACTGGGCTCCCTGGGTCCCACCCACAAACAGACCTAAGGTGGAGAGGGACAGATCCAGCCCCTGCACTCAGGGCCTCTCTGAGCCCCCCACCCTGCTGACATCTCCTCCCCTGGCACCCAGCTTCTTCCTGGGTTGCCCTGCTGGCTCCTGATCCATTCCCCCAATTACAGATGCTGTTTAGAGTCCAACCCTGAGACCCCTGCGCTCTTCCCTCCAGTCCCTTCTGGCCTGACCCAGTGACCTTTTCCTTTTGCTTCCAGACACGGCCACAGCAAAAGAGGCAGCAAAGCCCAGCCCAGCCATGGACGTGCAGATCCCGTTGCCAAATGTGTGTCTGGGTGGAGAGGGCATGATGTGGGGCTTGGAGTGGGGCTGGAGTCCTGACCCAGAGTCGGGAGCCTCCTGAGTCTGGAGGCAGAGAGGGAGGCCTCCAGCTGGCCACCTGCTGAGCTTCTGACCCCTTCAGCTCGAGGCCCCACCCCGGCCACCGGCTGTCACTTCCACGCCTGCACTGAAGGCTGAGCCTGCCATCATCCCTGCCACCCGGAATGAGCCCATCGGGCTGAAGGCCTCTGACTTCCTGCCTGTGAGTAGGACCTGGCTGGAGGGAGGAGTGGAAGCCCGTGGGGCGGGGGCAGAGCTTTGCTGCCTGCTCCTGTGCCAGCATCTGGGCACCTGTGCACGCAGGCCGTGAAGATGCCCCAGCAGGCAGAGCTGGCAGATGAGGATGCCATGTCGCAGATTCGCAAAGGCCATGACACCATGTGCGTGGTGCTCACCAGCCGCCACAAGAACCTGGACACCGTGCGGGCCGTGTGGACCACAGGCGACATCAAGGCAAGCATCTGCCCCTGCCCCAGGCTTGGCCTTGCTCCCCACGGCTTCTGTCTGCCACCCGAGCTTAGGGCTGAGCCCAGAAGGGGCCACACAGAGTCAGCAACAAGCTGGACAGCCCCTGTCCTCGTGCCTTGATCGCCTATTTTCATACCTTCCATCACCATCATGGTAGGCTGCTTTTTGTTGAGTACCTATCTGTGGGCCTGGCCTGGGCTCATCATTTTAGGTGCCATCTTAACACCCCCCTACAAGCCCCATCATTGCAGCACACTCCCTTCACGGGGGCCCCGCTGTTCCCAACCCCTGACAGTGCTCTGTTTGCACAGACATCGGTGGACTCTGCTGTGGCCATCAATGACCTGTCAGTGGTGGTGGATCTCCTGAACATCGTCAACCAGAAAGCGTAAGTGGCTGCGGTGGGGGAATGGGCAGCGGGGGCAGGGCCAGGCTGACGGCGCCACGTCCCGGCCTCTCCCCAGCTCCTTGTGGAAGTTGGACCTGTGCACCACCATCCTGCCGCAGATTGAGAAGCTTCTGCAGAGCAAGTATGAGAGGTAGGTGTGAGGAAGTCATGCCTGCCTCACAGCAGGGGGAGGGAGAGGCAAACAACTCCAGGGACCACAGGAAAGACGCCAGGGCCCGGGTGCCTCTGTGAGGTGGCTGTGAAGTGTGTGTCTGTGTACCTTGCTCTCTGTTTATTTTTGTCTGTGGCCCTGGCCCCTCCATCTGTGACTCCATCCATCCGTCTGCCCCTGAAGCTATGTCCAGACAGGCTGCACCTCCCTGAAGCTGATCCTGCAGCGGTTTCTCCCTCTGATCACTGACATCCTGGCGGCCCCCCCCTCTGTGGGTGTGGACATCAGCCGGGAGGAGAGGTGAGGGGCCAGGAAGTATGTGTATATGTTTTGGGTAGCGGTGCCACAGCAGGCCAGGAGACAGGCCTGGGGGCCGGGCCCTGCTGAAACAGATTATAGAGAAGGACATTGTATCTGGGGCAGTGGCTTGGTATAGGTGGACATAGCTGGAGCCTGGGTTCCTTCCTGGCCTGGCTGTGCCCCCATCCCTGGCATGGCTTGGGTGCGTACCGTGCTCTGGGCCTCAGCTGTCCTCTGGGAGGAGGGGCTCGAGTGGCCAGGCCAGCAAAGGCCCCAGGGTCAGGTGGGGGTCATGGTGGCCATGCTGGCTGGCCTCAGGCGCTACCCTCTGCCCACAGGCTACACAAGTGCCGGCTCTGCTACAAGCAGCTCAAGAGCATTAGTGGCCTCGTCAAGAGCAAGTCAGGCCTGAGTGGCCGCCACGGCAGTGCCTTCCGCGAGCTGCACCTGCTCATGGCCAGTTTGGACTGAGGAACCCAGTGGGTGAGGGCACCCAGCAGCCTGCGGGGCCTGGCCTCGGCCCCTACTCCTGTTTCCCGTATGCCCAAGGGCACATGAACCTCTGCCAAGCCCCTGCTGCTGCCCCTGTGGCCATCCTGGAGGAGGCGGAACTGGCCCACTGGCCACCTCCATAGCCCTGAACTCAGACAACCTTCTCTCCAGCAACAGCTACACAGCTTTGCCCAACTCTTGCTTCTTGGGGCAGCAAGTGGAGCCCTGGGGCTGCTGCTGTAATTTATAAGGTGAATTTTATTAAATTTGTAACTATTCCCTGGTTTCCTTGTGGGAGCATTATTCTCTGGCCATGAGGCTTTCCCAGGCCCGGGACTACCTGCCCTGTCCCCTTAGAGGACCACTCCCCCTCCTACCCTGGGAGCTGAGCTCCTTGCCGTGTGACCAGCAGGGGGCAGCAGAGTGACAGACCTTCCAGGAAAGGGGCCAGTTCAGACTTAATCTGGGGAAGGCAGGGGAGGCAGGAACCCACCCTCCCCTTCACCTTCCCCTAGCTGGGAGAAACAGGTGAGGGGTGGCCCGTCCCCCCATCTCAGCCACACTCCCAGCTGTCCTGTGGACCCTCCAAGCGGACAATGCCCAGACCCAACAGCTGTACACTGCAGGGTGCAAGGAGCCCAGCCTTGCAGGTTGGCCACCAGGCTGGCCCAGCACCCAGCACCCTCTCCCATCCTCCAAGACCTCCAGAGACAGGACTGGAAGGGCAGCTACCACATCTCCTGACAAGGGCTCTGAATAGTTCGCACTGCTGCTGGAGCCCCCAGTACTGACTGGCCAGAACAAGTCCTCCTGACGCCATGGTCACTCCTAAAGGAGGGCCCCACCCTGCTCCCAAGGCAGCAGCTATCAGGTGCAGCCCCAGTCAGGGAGGGAAGACCCCACTGAGCCCCTGCACAGGTTCCCCCAAGGCTGGGACCAGGTGTAGGCCAGCACAACCCCCATGTTGGGACCAGGGGAAGGGGGCCTATACTGGTGGTTGGGGTCCTATAGGCACTGGGAGGGGACTAGTGCTCACTTTCAGCTAGTTCACTTAGGAGGGGAGAGGCCAGGGCGGAGGGTGGTCAGTGGAACCCGGCAGCAGGACTGGAACCCCGGCCGTGGTCTTGGCGAGCCTCTGATGGGCCTTAGTTCCCATCTATAACATGGAGGTGATGCCTCTGTTGCATGGGTCAGTTATCGTGGGCACAAAGTAGGCACCTCATAAGGGTAACGACGACCACAAAAAGAAAAAGCACTGTCTCCCTGGCTCCCCCAGTTCAGGACGTGTGTTCCTGACTGACTCAGGACAGGTCCCAGAGGGCTGCGGGGTGACCCGCCAGCAGTGTGGAGCCAGCAGAACGTGCCCCTGCCCTTCCCCCCAGGATCACACCGAGAGGGGCTCACAAGACCAACTCTTTCAGACCACGCTTGTGTAAAAAGGCTTTTATTTTAATAAGTAAAAATGGCTAAGCTTCCAAAAGTTCTTAAATAGGATACAGAGAGAAGAAAACGTGAAGAGGCCAGTGGGCAAGGAGAGCACCTGGTGCCAGGCAGACAGGGGGCAACAGACTCCCCTGCCCGTGGCCTCCTCTGCCAGCCATAAATACAGCCCAGCCAAGGCCAGGAAGGGCCGTGCTCCACGCACACCAGGGAACACTATATACGCGCCCAGCTACGGGGGCCCCTCCTTGGAGGAAAGTGGCAGGCAGGGCAGACCCTCAGTGCCCACCAACCACCCCAGTTCCCATGGTTCCTGCGCCTTCCTGGAGGTTCCTCAGCCCACCCACGGAGGAAGGGGCTGCCCTGCCCTGCACACACACTCCTGCCCTCCCCACGAGGGCCCAGCTCTTTGATAAGCCCAGGCCTGCCAGAAGGAGTGGGCCATCCCTGCCCTTCCAGCCCACGCTATCTGCACCCAGAGAGCCACAGCCAGGAGACACTGTTTCCTTCTGAACATGTTTCTCCCCTCTGAGGAGAGACAGGGCAGAACAGGAGCCTCCACTCTTGCCTTCGCCTCCTGGGGTCCCAGCGCTGCAGCAGGAGCAGGCCAGCAAGTCCTCGGGACCCAGCTCCAGACCTGTCACGGTGGGCCCGTCCATCACACAGGCACCGGCCTAGACTTCCCTGCAGGTGGGGGAGGGGGGCTCATCAGCACTGGGATCGCCAGTTTCTCATCCATTCACCCTGGCCAGCGGCCCACGGCAGAAGCTGCCAAGAGCAGGAGGGAGCCCAGAAGAAGCACAGAGACAAGCAGGCAGCAGCAGGACAAACCCAGCCCTGAGCAGCTGAACTCCCCAGCACAGCCCTGTACCCCAAGGTGGGCAGGTGGGTGGCAGGCAGATAGCCCTGGGCCACTGGCCCCACACTCACCTAGAGACTCTGCAGCCCCAGCCGTCAGGCTGAAATCAAAGTGACAGGCATCTCACTGGTGGGCTGGCCTCAGGCCAGGACCCCACAGGACCCTGATGCCCCTGCCTCTTTGGACTTAAGGACTAGCCGGTCCCTTCTGTGAGTGGGGCCAAGCAGGTGGCTGGAGCCCAGCCAGCCCACCCTTGGAGAATCATCTGCCCCAGCAAGGAGGTTGGAGGGCTGGGCTCCTCCTTACACTACCCTCTCCAGGGACCTTAGATTTCCCATCTGTAAAATGGACACAGCACTGTCTGTGCTGAGTACTTCCTAGGGGCACAGGAGGTTGTGAAACAGGTTCTGGAGAAGTTATATACACTTTTTAAAAGGAAGAGAAGAAAAAGCCCATCCAAGTAAGGGCAGCCTGATTGCTCTGATTGTCCCATGGTGAAGACCCCCACCCCAGGCCCACTCCCTACAGGCTCACCTGAGGGCTGCAGCTTCCTCCGGATGGAGCCAGGGCGGCTACTGGTCCCAGAGCTGGGGGCTGAATGGGCACGTGCTGTGGGCTGTGGTGTCTGGCAAGCTGGCTCCCACTGTGAGCAGGGAAGGGAAGGTGGTGGGGGGCTGTGGCTGCCCTGGCTCCCCCACCCATGCTTCCCTCCATTCCCGTTCCCTAGCCGCCTGAAACTCAGTGTCCTCATCTGCAAAATGGGCCCGCCTCATGGAGTTATTGCAAGAATTAGAGAAAATATGTGTAAAAAGTTACTGCTGAGCACCTGCTGGGTGCAAGGCCTGCAAACCACACTCAACCAGCTGACCACCTCCCGCCCCAGCCACCACCACACACACACAGGTACATCTGAGGACAAGAATAATACTTGGACTAAAGAGGCTACTGGGTTTGGGTTCAAGTTCTGGCTCTGGGTCCCTCAGGTAGCTTCTCCTTCCCCAATACTCCAGGCTGTCCCTGCTCCCAGCCCTCCCTCCTACCCATGACCCAGAAGTCTCTGACCCAGTACCAGTTTAGGACAGGCCTGTGGCCATCCCTGTACCTCTAGATGCTCCTGGCTTGACCAGGACCCAAGCTCTGCCCGGCGTGACCCAGGACCCAGTTCCACAGAGCGCACCCTCTCAGCAAACTTGAGGGAATAGAGCGTCTCACTGGTGTTCTTCTCCACGGGGGACACCTAGGGGACATAAGAGCTCACTTTACACCCAAGCCTCCACAAACTGGAAGGGGCAGCATGGTCACCAGAGGGAGCTCACAGCCAGGCACAGAGCGCACCCTCTCAGCAAACTTGAGGGAATAGAGCGTCTCACTGGTGTTCTTCTCCACGGGGGACACCTAGGGGACATAAGAGCTCACTTCACACCCAAGCCTCCACAAACTGGAAGGGGCAGCATGGTCACCAGAGGGAGCTCACAGCCAGGGGACTCTAGGTTTCCTGGAGAATAGAGAAGCCAGAGGGTAATCAAAGTGGCAGAAATGGGGCTGGCCCGTGGCTCACTCAGGAGAGTGCGATGCTGATAACACCACAAAGTGGCAGAAATGGCACAGTCACAGGTATAGAGGAGGGGCTTGTGAGGTCTACAGGGAGCATGTGGCCAGGTCTGGGTAGGGGATCAGGGGGGCACATGTCACTGACTATGGAGCTGCTAAGACAAGGGTCCCTTCCCAGCAACGCCTGGGGTTCCTGGATCTCCGTGCTACCTCACCACCTAGGACCCTCACCTGTACCCACAGTCATAGGTATAGAGGAGGGGCTTGTGAGGTCTACAGGGAGCATGTGGCCAGGTCTGGGTAGGGGATCAGGGGGGCACATGTCACTGACTATGGAGCTACTAAGACAAGGGTCCCTTCCGAGCAACGCCTGGGGTTCCTGGATCTCCGTGCTACCTCACCACCTAGGACCCTCACCTGTACCACCATGAGGGTCTTGCTGTCACCACTAAGTGAGTCCTGCAGCAGGTAGGTGAGCTTGGAGTTGCGGAAGGGCACATGGCCCTGGCGGGAACGCAGAGCAGCAATGACATCCCCCAAGGCTGACAGTGACTTGTTGATGTGCTGCGCCTCCCGCAGGCGGTTGCCCTCGGCCCCTGACTTGCCCACGCGCTCTGAGCCAGCCAGGTCCACCAGGTTCAGCTTCCCTGCAGGGAGGGCACCAGGCAGATCAAGGCTGCCCCAGCAGGTACCCCAAGGGTCCTCAGGCCAGGCGCCTGTCACCTTCACTCACCCGTGGTGCGGAGGCCCGTGCTGCCGTCCACGCCGCGCACCGTCACAATGAGCAGGGCGTGCGAGCGGGAACTGTGCTCGTTCAGGTTGGTGAACTCGGTCGTGCGGTTGGTGTGGCCAAATTCAAACACCTGTGGGTGCGCAGGTGGGCAAGGTTTAGAGTGAAGTCTTCGGAATCATCCTGTCCCTCTGAGCACTCTGTGAGGGGTAGCGTCACTCTCTGTTTTAGATGAGGAAACTGAGGCCCAGAGAGGCGTGGGGACTTGCCTGAGGTTGCACACTCAGGACATGGCAGGAGCTGCAATCGCACCCGGTCTGACCCGCTCCAGAGCAGCTCTGCTTGGGGTTGGGAGTCCCCCAGCAGCCCCAGCCCCTTCCCCTGTGGCCCCACACCTTGTTGATGTCATCCACACTCCGCACTTGGAACTCGGTCAGCCCTGGCACGTAGAGCTGCCCACTGCCGTCTGGGCACAGCCGGATCTCCAGCTTCTCCTGAGGCTCTTTCCCCAGCAGGTCCCTGGAGGGGCAGGTGGGACAGTCATTCCCTCCTCCCACTTCCAGCCTCTGCTTGCCCTGCACCCGGCCCCCAGCCTGGAATGTTCCCTCAATCCATCACACCTTTAAGAAGCCTTCTCCAATCTTTGGGCTAAATCTGTCTCTCCTCCTCTAGCTCCTCTCCTGCACTCAGCTGAAGAGGTGGAGGCCTGACTGTCCCCCAGAAGTCCTGTGAGTGGTGCTGCACCTGCCTCTGCCCAATGCACTGGGCCCCTGTGGACCAGCCCCACCTCCTACTCTCACTTACCAGCACCTGGTACAGCCCACAGGGAGGGGAAAAGGCTCCTGGGTCTGGGCCTCCCAGGCAGGCTCAGAGAGCCCCTCCTACCCTTAGGAACACTCAACCCCCTGGGACTACCCAACTCCCCTGGGCTGAGTCAGGACTTATAGTCGGTCCCTAGACTCCCTCGAAATAACCCCACTTTCCATCCCTCAAGGCTCCAGCACTGCCCCTGAGGCCTGAGGCCTGGTCTCCATGCCCCAGGCCTCCCACCTGAGGGCCTCGTTGTAGATCTCTGCTGCGCTGACGGTGATGGTGTACTCCCAGTCGGATGCCTTCTCCTGCACCTCAGAGAACAGCAGCTGCAGGGCCCGCTGGTTGATGCCAGGGTTCTCAGGGGTCCCCTGGGGGTGGAAAGAGAGGCCACAGTGTGCCAGACCTCTCCCCTCACATGGCGTCTGTCACCCCCAACCCCCATGGGTATTCCTCACAGGCGAGCCACCCTGCCCGGAGCTCCCACCTGCATGCTGGCCTGTCCCCCATAATGCCTTCCACCAGCTACAAGCAACTTCACCTCCCTGGGCCTCAGTTTCCCCACTTTTACAATGGCATCACCTGCCAAGACTGCCCTGAGACTTAAAGAGGCCTAGGAGAAGGGCCTGATATGGGCGCCAGATGCCCACCTGGCCCTGCTGGGCCACCTGAGAGTGGGCACTGGAGATGAATTATTTCCCTGCCACTGCCCAGAGGGGGACTCAATGTCAGGGAGGCTATGAGCAGGGCTCTGTGGGTGGTAGAGGCTAGGCACAGGCAGAGCAGGAAAGTGCCCTGGGGCCAGATGGGCTGGCACGCCTTTCTAGAAGGAAATCTGGAGTCCCCATCTGGACCCTTGTGGAGGACCTCAGAAGTCTAGCCCTGGCTTCCCTCTGATGGCTCCTCCCACCACCCCTCCACTCCTGCCACAGGGGCCTGCTTGCCAGGGCTCAAGTGCAGCCGGCATGCTCCTAGCTCTTGGTCTCAGCCCTACGGTTCCCTCTGCCTGGAGTGCGCTCCCCAGACAGCTATGGCTGGCTCTGTCACCTCCGCCGGGGGTCTGCTCCAATGCCGCCTCCTTAGGGAGGTTTTCCCCGGAGCCCCCGCACCCCTGTGTCTCCTTCACTGTTAGTTCCTCATCTCTGGCTTTATCTTTCTCCCTGGCAGCTGACAGGGCGCATACGGACTAATTTTGTCTTCACTGCTGTCTCCCCCACTGCCAGATTGGCTCCGTGGGGGCAGACTCTTTCAGCCACAGCTGTGCCCAGTGCCTGGCACAGTGCCCAATACACCTCAGGCCGCAGCAGACAGGCTTGGAGGACACATGCTCCTGGTGGTCACCTCAACTCTAAGCAACCCTAGGACAGGGCTGAGACCCCAGTCCCTTCATCCTCCCCACCTTGCCTGGCCTGCCCCCCACTAACCAATCTTGCCAATCCCAGAATTGAGGGAATGGCAGTGTCCAGACTGGGAGAGAAGGCTGGCCGGTTAACGATCAGTTGATTAGAGAGCCATGTTATAACACTAAGGTCAAGGGTTTGGATCCCCATACTGGGCAGCCGCCAAAATAATAATAGTAATAATAATAAAATTTTAAAAACAGATTGGGGGAGAGAGGGCCGCCATGGCAGGCTCCCCAGAAGGTGCCTAATGGCCTGACCAGCAGGGCCTGTCCAGCCCTCTCATTCCCCTTGCCCTGACACCTCGACACCGGCCCGCCTCCCCTACCTGGGGAATTCCCCTCAAGAGCCAGGAAATACTGACAAACCAAGGGCACCCCCCTGGACCAGTTTTCCACTTCTATCTGCAGCCGAGATCCCACCTCAGCTCAGTGCCCTCTTCCCGGCCCATGCCACCTGCTCCTGCTCCCCGCCACAGCCCACGGAGGGGGCTGGCCATAGCAGGGGGATGAAACCCTGCCCTGGACCTAGGAGCCACAGGTAAGAGCTAGGCTCCCCACGACAGCCTTCCTGTGCCTGGTCTCTCCTGCTGCCCCGGGATCTCCTTGAGGGCCGAGACCCCATCTCATTCATCTGGGTATCCCCCTGGTCCAGCATGAGGCAGCCATAAGCAGGGAAAGCTCAGTGAATGCATGTGGGTGAAATGAAAGCCCTATCCTGAGAGACGACACTGGGGCCTGCCCTGGACTCTGACCCCAGGCTGAGATCCCTCTGATGACAGTGTGCTGCCCCTCCCCCAGTCCTGCTGGGACCATGGAAAGTGCTCTTGGGAAACGCGCCCCCTCTTCAGGCCTGGTGCCTCGGGACTAATACAGGCAACCACAGTCTCTGCTCCTGGGGTGGTTGTGAGGACCAAATGAGGCAAAATATGCACTGCAGAAAACCCTGAGACCAGTGAGGGGAGCCCCAGCAGCAGCAAGGGAGTGGTCTTCACCCTCTGAACCCCTGCCCCGTGGGCACCCACCTCCATGGTGTATGTCTTGCCGGCACCCGTTTGGCCATAGGCGAAGATGCAGACGTTGAAGCCGTCGATGCAGGAGGTGATCAGCGCCTGCACCTCCTGGAACACCTGGGAGGGACATGGGATGGAGGGTGGGGAGCTTCCACAGCCACTGGGACCAGGGCCCCGACCAGTTCCAAATCCAACCACCTCTCCTGACCACACTCTCCTTCAGCAATAACACAGCACATGTTACTGTGGTCAACTGGCTTGCTGATGGGATTCATGTCTAACAAGGCATTCTCGTTGGACATCCATGGGCAACCTGGCTGCCCAGACTGAAGGGAGGACAGGACAGGGAGTACTGCCTGCCAACTCCAGCATAGGGGCCAAGGAGCCCTCCTGCCCTCCAGGGGTGCTTGGCAAAGGAAGGCAGAGGCCGGCATGTGCCTGGCACCTCCTCTGGCTTGGGCCTGCCTGCCAGTGGACAGAGGATAGGGATAAGGGTGATGCCAGATATGGGAACAAAGGGGCCAGGCAAGACAGCCCTGGAAGGTTGGTCCTGGGCAGAGATGGCTGGCCCTGGGCAGGATGCTGAGACCACATGTTTCTCACACACTGAGGCTCAGCCCTGCGGGCAAGGGTGGTGGGGGTGTCCATAGGAAGACCCATGGGGCTGATACAGTAGGGTGCTCCTGGCTGGAGAGGCCTGCCTGGAGGCCAGCCAGGGCCAAGTAGCTGCACAGGGCTATAAGGGTAGGTGGGGCCATGTGGGCAGGTGGGAGTGGGAGGGTAGGAGGAGCCACGTAGGTGGGCAGGGCCATGTGCATGGGCGGGGCCACAGCCAAGCTGCTGCTGGGATGGGCTGTGCCTGGATCTCTCCTTCCTAGCTGAGGCTTCCCTCCTAGCAACTCCCACGCTCTCCTGGTCCCATGCTTCTCAATCCTGTCCCTGCACTCTTACACTTCTTTCTGTCTCATGCCATCTCCCTCTCTCCATTCCTCTCCCTTTCCCTGCCGATGCCCTCCCTGACACGGCCACACTCACATCCTGCTGTGAGGCCTGGGGGGAGAAGACTTTGTCCAGCTCGAAGGATACAGGTTTGCCCTTGTGCAGCAGGTGGATGATGGAGTCATCATCAGAATCAAAGGTCACAGCATTGGTTGCCTCAGGTCCTTCCCCATCCTCTTTGGTGACTGGCCGGACCCGAGCGATTACCCGGATGTTCCCTGGATTGATTAGGGATAGAGACATGGGCCCAAGCCAGGACAAGACCAAACTGCCTCCACTAGTGTCCTGAGCAGACTTGTGGCCCAGGAGTCCCCTGCCTTTTTAAGCAGATTCCCCCAGGGCAAGCTGTTATCAGTCATTCACACTATAGTATGAATTCACTTAGTACATTTTCTTCCTGAGCAGACCAGTTGAGGGTGGGAGCTTTGCCTTGGGGATGGGGAGGAAAGGTCAGTTGTGGAGCTCGGGCACTGCATCCAGTCTGGGTGAGACACCAATATGGACTTTCTCTTTATCTCATCTGTACATTGAGAGGCTTGTTCTATCATTGTACAATGGCACTGTGAATGCCAGGACAGGGCTTGGGAATCAGATGGGCAAAAAGGACCAGAGAGCAGGTGGACAACTGGCAGCACATCTAATGAGCACAGACAATGAGGCAGCCACAGGGGTGTTTGGTGGCATGAGCTGATCATGCCACCCCCCTTATTTCCAGTCCTTCAGTGGGATCCCCATGCTCCTAGAATGAAGAGAAAACGCCCCCCACAGCCAGCCCCACCTTCCCTCCCTCTTCACCTGTCCACTCCAGCTCACAGTCCAGGTCTCAGCTCTAGCTTTGCCAGCTCTCGGAAGGCCACCACACCCTTGTCTGTCCCATACCTAGGGACTCTCGGGGCCTGCCCAGCCCTGGTAATGGGGGCAATGTGAGGGTTCTCTAGGTGATTAGCAGTCACTATCCCTTCTCCCAGCTAAAGTGAGCACTGTGAGGGCAGTGTCTGTAAGGCCACAGCCATATCCTCAGTGTCTGGAATAGCACCTGGCACAGAGCAGGTGCTCCCTAGACTTCTGTACAGTGGATGCTGGTGTCTCAACCTTGACCGGGCCCTAGGTCAGAACAAGTGCCATTCCAGCCACCCACCACCCAGTGCTTCAATACCACACCCTTCAGCCACCAAGGGCCTGGGGAGCAACCTGTCATGGGAATTGATGGTGGGGGCTTCAGAGCTAGATACATCCAAGTTCAGATCCAAGGTGGAACATTTGCTAGCCACATGATTTTGAGCAAGTTCCCTGAATTCTCTGTGCTTCTGTTTCCTTATCTACAAAGACAGGATTGTAATAGCTCTTTAATGACAGGTCTCAGCTCCAAAGATGACTGCCAAGCCAGGTCAAGAACCTCTATACCAGCACCCATCCTCAGCCTGCATGACAGTCACCTTTCAGCCGCACGAGCTCGTTGTGGCACTTCTTGCGCAGTTGCAGCTCCCGACGGTACTTGCGCAGCAGCTCCTGGTTGCTGCTGTTGACCTCCTCGATGGCCTGGCCGATCTGGTGGTGGATGCACAAGCTGTCAGGGCCCAGCTCCTTCAGCCTGACAGGGTGCTCACCGTCTCCCAACCTGGGCTGGGCACTTGACAGGAGCTGTCACATGTCAGATTTTTCAATAACCCCTCTGGATAGGTACCATTCCCATTTTACAGCTGAAGAAACTGAACCCCAGAGAGGCCATGCCAGTAGTTCAAGGTTACCCTGCAAACAGTCAGGACTCAGGCTTCACTCCCCAGCACTACTGCTCGACTACAACATGATTCGGCTGGACTCAGATTTCGGTTCTACCCCTGAGGAGCTGAGTAGGCACTGAGATAATTGGCTCAACGTCTTTGAGCCTCAATTTTCTCATCTGTAAAATGGGGATAACACCATGATACTCATGAATCTATTAGATGGTAGGTAAAGATCTCCAAGTTCCATTTGATAGGGAGTAAAAAAGCAAGAGGCAAAACTACACATACAGGGCCGGCCCGGTGGCGCACTGCTACAGTGAGCCGCTTGGGAGTGCGGCGGCGCTCCCGCCGAGGGTTCGGATCCCACATACAGACCAGTTCCCGCTCACTGGCTGAGCGAGGTGCGGGAGCAACGCCAAGGGTTGCGATCCCGTTGCTGGTCCCGGTCTGGTACGGGCGTGACACTGAGGGTTGCGATCCGTTGCCGGACACGAAAAAAGACAAAAAAAAAAACCAAAAAACTACACATACAGAATGTTCCCCTTTCTTGGATAAAAGTGTATATACTCACATATATACACCAGGAGGCTTAATTGTGCTCAGAACACCCTGGGCAGAAATGCTGGGAGACACACCACCTTAGGGGAGTGGAGTAGGGTGGCCGAGAGGCCTTCCTTTTCACGTATGCTGTTCTGCAGGATTTGAATTTTCACCATGTACATGTATTATTGATATAATTTTTTTAAAGGAGAACTATTTTGGGCCGGCCCGGTGGCGCACTGGATAAGTGCGCCGCTTGGGAAGCGCGGCGGCGCTCCGGCCCAAGGGTTCGGATCCCACATACAGACCGGTTCCCGCTCACTGGCTGAGCGAGGCGCGGGGGCAACACTGAGGGTTGCGATCCCGTTGCCGGTCCCCGGTCCGGTACGGGAGCAACACTGAGGGTTGCGATCTGTTGCCGGACACGGAAAAAGACAAAAAGACTAAAAAAATAAAATAAATAAATAAATAAATAAAAATAAATAAAAAAATAAAGGAGAACTATTTTCTATTCCCAAAATATATTAGTCTGTGCAGAACTGTCACACAAATTCAAAGAGCCAATGGCTATAAAAGGTTCAGCATGTAGGAGGTATTTAAGAGACGTTGGCTCTTCTTATACTGTACAAGTACAGCTTTAAAAAATTAAATTAAATCTAACATGTATAAGGATATATGTATGGGATATATGTTTGATTTAAAGAATCATAGTAAGGGCCGGCCCATGACTCACTTGGGAGAGTGTGGTGCTGACACCACCAAGTCAAGGGTTAATATCCCCTTACCGGTCATCTTTAAAAAAAAAAAGAATCATAGTAAGACAAATACCCAAATACCTGCACCCAACCAGTCTATTATTAAACAGGGCCTGTGAAGGCAGCAGTGGGGGCAGGGGAGGGTAGCTGTTGTCTGGGGGTCTTGTCTGAGTTTTGGGAGAGAGCCCCTGGGTGGATGCTGTGTCTGCCCAAGGGCTCCAGGGCCTGTCTCCAGCCCCAGCCCCACCCCCACCCCACAGCCTGCACTCCCCACCCCAGCCCACCCACTCACCTCAGCCTTGACGCTCCTGAGGGCCTCCTGCAGTAGGAGGGGGAAGCCGCGCACCTGTCGCTTGAGCCCATTGTAGTCGTTGGTGAGGGTCCGCAGCGCTGGCTGCAGCGTCAACAGGTTGGTCCGGACACCTGTGGAGACATGAGGGGTGTGAGGTGGGTGGGTGTGAGGGGCTGTGGCATGGGGCAGCCAGGGCCCAGCCAGTTGACTCACCTGCCAGGTTCTCGTGCACGGCCTTCATCTCCACCTGGGCTCTGGCAAAGGCCTCCTCAATGGCCCGGTTCTTGTCCTCCTCCAATGACTGCATCTCCTCCAGCATCTGCCCGTGTGCCCGCTCCAGCTCTGACTCATACATGGCAATCTGGTGGCCAGGCCAGGAGAAGGCTCAGGGCCATGGGGCATGGGAGGGGGAAGGCAGGTACTAGGAAGGAAGCCCCGCCCCTCACCCCGCACACACGTGAACACATGAACACACACACGGAGTAGAGGTGGAATGGGTTTCGCTTTCTCTCCCCACAGGGCTGTGAGCTCTGTGCAGCTACTACCTCTCTGCATTAGCCCCAGCACCAACTCGGTCCTGGTACATAGAGGTACACAAGCCACATGCCCCCCAGGTGAGCATTTGTGTGATCATATCAAGAGGAGCAGCAGTGCCTACTGAGCACTGTGTGCTGGGCCTAGGTGAAGAGCCTCTGTGATCATGTCCCTGAGTGCCCACTGCGAAGTGGGTTCTGTGGCCAGGTCATGTCACAGATGAGAAAACAGAGAGTTAGACAAAACTTGCCCTTGGTCATATGGCCAGCGGGAGAGAAGTGAGTGGGCCCCAGGTCTGTCGGGTCCAAATGCTTAACTGCTGCACTGTGTGAAGGCCTGCCTCTGGCTTCCTCCTGGCATGCACCCCAATGGCCTGCGTACCTGTGCCCGGAGCTGTGCGGTCAGCTGATGTGAGCTCTGCAGCTGCTGCTCCATCTCCTTCAGCACCTGCCTCTGCATGGCTACCTGCTCCTGCAGGTGCTGGTTCCGGGCCTGGCACTCACTGAGGGCCTGCTTGGTCTTAGACGACTCCACCTCCACTGTCTTGATGATATACTACAAGGTAAGGGAGGGATGGGCACATGGAGCGGCGTGACCTCACTGGGGCCCTAAGACACAGCTGGCCATCGGAGGGGACCCTCAGGAACATCCCACTAAGAGCCTCCAGAAAAAACTAGAGGAGCCTTGAGGTCCTAGCATTCCAGAATGCTGCAGGGCCTCCTGGAATCTTCTCATCTTAATGACAGCCTACTGTGAGCCTGGCTGTGGCCCAGCATGGGCACAGAACCGACAAGAAGGGAAAAAGAGGGCGTGACCTCACTGGGGCCCTAAGACACAACTGGCTATTGGAGGGGACCCTCAGGAACATCCCACTAAGAGCCTCCAGAAAAAACTAGAGGAGCCTTGAGGTCCTAGCATTCCAGAATGCTGCAGGGCATCCTGGAATCTTCTCATCTTAATGAGAGCCTACTGTGAGCCTGGCTGTGGCCCAGCATGGGCACAGAACCGACAAGAAGGGAAAAAGACAAGGGCAGAATCTAGGGGCTACATCACATCTGTGCCAGGCATGCAGTGGGTGCCTCAGCACTGATCACTGCATCCCTTCTCTGTGCTGGCCCTGGACAGCAGGAAGGGAAAGGGCAAGACCGAGCGTGGAACTGGAATGATCTTTCAACCACTAACCCCTATTTATGCACCAAGACAAGCCTCCGTTCCATGCCGGTCCTGCCCTAGGTGCCAGAGGCCAAGGGCTGAGGCACATGTCAGGCTCACCCAGGGTGCTGCCCGCAGCCGCCTGACCTGTCGCTCACCTTGACGGGCGGTGACTGGGCCCGCAGGCTGGCGATGGTCTCGTGACTGTCACGCAGGCGCCGGCTGAGCCGCTCCTCCTCCTGTGCCTTCTCAGCCAGGCAGTCCTTGAGCCGCAGCTCCACCTCAGCCAGCCGGTCGGTCTTCTGCTGCACCTCCAGGTTCAGCTCTGACAGCATGCCTTTGTTCTCCGCCACCTCCAGCTGCAGCTGTGACAGCCTGTTGCGGAGCTGGGCGCTCTCCTGCAGATGGTTGGGAGGCACAAGGATGAGCGGGAGGCAGAAAGACGGGCAGGGGTCACTGTCAGGAACGGGGGTCACTGTTGGGAGCCAAGCCCTCCAGGCCCGGCTCACCTGGCTGTGCTCACAGCCTGGGCAGGGGGTGGCAGGCTTTGCCTGCAGCTCCTGCAGCTCCTGCAGCTCGGCCTCGCAGCGCCGCATCTCCTGCCTCAGTCGCTCATTCTCCACCATCAGCAGGTCCCGGTGCTTCTCCAAGTCAGTGCCCCCCTGCGGAGAGCCAGGGATAAGGGGACACATATGGCAAGGGCAGATGGGGAGTAAAAGGAAGAGGGGCAGGCAGAGAGAGTGCAGGGCATGGGAGAGAAGAGGAGAGGTGAGGGGAAAGAGGGAGAGAGGGAGGAAAAGAAAAGGAAAGGTGAGCAAGGGAGAGAGAAGAGAGAAGGAGAGAAATGGAGAGCAGGACAGAGGAGAGCAGGACAGCGAGAGGGGTGTAAAGCAGGACCTGCCTTCCCCCCACCCCTCATTCTATTTTCCTGAGTGTGAAAGTAACAAGAAAAAGCCGTTTTTATACACAGAGTTCACACTCCTGTTTTATGTCAGCTATGAATGAACCTCCCCCCAGGAGTCACATGGCCTCTGCGGGTACGAGCGGGTGGTGATGAGTACTCTGGCGCGTTTGTGAGACAGAGCGGTGATCTGCTCGGCCAGGATACAGCCCCTGCTTGGCTGGGACAGGAGGGCTCAGGGACATCTGCACAGGGCCAGGCCGGCCCCCCGACCCCACCAAAGGATGTCACTGTCGAGCCTCACCAGCTCCGATCGAAGTCGGCTCACTTCCTGGGCCTGGCTAATGAGTTTCTCCTTCAGATTTTCCACCTGCCGGCACAAAGCCAGGGACACGATGAGCCTTGGTCCACACCTCCAGCCCATGCCCAGGCCTCTTGCCGGGCACCAGGGAAGCCCACATGGCTTGTCAAGGCCCCCAGACCCTATGGCCTTATGCACCCAGCCCGGTGCTGACAGCTTTCAGCCCCTCTCCCACTGCAGGACCAGCTGGCCGGGCTATTCAGGGAAGTCTGGAGAACAAGTACAACCAAGGTAACCTCTGGTACCCACTCTGGGCCCACTCTGAAGCAGCTCACCAGGAGACTCAGGCAGCCGACCCTCAGGACCCCTCCCTGGCACAGGCCCCTTATTCAGGGAAGTCTGGAGAACAAGTACAACCAAGGTAACCTCTGGTACCCACTCTGGGCCCACTCTGGAGCAGCTCACCAGGAGACTCAGGCAGCCGACCCTCAGGACCCCTCCCTGGCACAGGCCCCTTCCGAGGGCCTGTACCTACCTTTGTATATATAATATTATGTTCTCTTTCTTTAAAAAAAAGCCCCCAAATTATATAAACTCCAAACCCTACAAACCCTACAAACCCAACATGTCCTTGCCCAGCTCCCAGAATTTTCCACTTTGAGTGGTTTCTGGCAAGTTGGCCTGTGGACAGGTCTGCCGGTGGCCAGGGAATGGACCGGGCCAGGCCAGGGCTGGACCACAATAGTCAGGCTCTGCTCTGCTGACCAGGGCAGGGAAGAAGTGGGTCATAGGATCCCCCACACCTCTGAGACAAAGGCCAGTGAAGCCAGCATTGTTTGCTTATGGTGGGGAGGGGTATTCTGAGACACAAGACCCAGCCGAGGGGCCGGGAAGCCCAAGCAGGCTGCCCAAGGCCTCCTGGTAGGCAAGCAGGTGACCCAAAGTCTGGGCCTGAGTAGGTCACCTCTGCTACCACCTCCACCAGCATGGTCCTTCCTGGCAATACACTGGGCCATGAACCAGGCAGGGAGACAAAGCAGTGCCCCTTCTCTGCCCACTACCAATACTTCCGTTCCATTCCTAATGGCCTGGTGTAAGGAGGGCTCATTTCTTTTGGACCTAGAGGAGGGAGTTAGGGATAGTTCACACAGGGCAGCCTCTCATTCCTTAGTCATGAAATTGGGAATAACCTGAATACCCTCCATTTGGGGACAGTTAGGTAAATGATGGTGTGTGTGTGTATGTGTGTGACTATTATGTAACCACTACAATTATGTTTATCAAGAGTTTTAAATGACATGGGGAAAGGCTGATCAGTATAGTAAGTCAAAGAAAAATCTGGAGAAAAAAATTGCGTGTACAATATAAAAAAGTGCAGGTCTCTGGGCTGTAGAATTATAGTAGACAAATTCTTTATGTTTTTCAGTAATTTTTAAGCCTTGAAGAATATGCACCCTCAACAGTGGGTCTACTTCCTTTTGAAAAGGCCAGGGACCCCATCCCACTTCCCTCCCCAGACAGGCTGCTGCCTCGGCACAGGGCTCAGGGCTCGGTGTGCTCTGACCTTCACTATCTCCAACGCTGCTGCCGGACACTCGACCCCAATATGGTGAGAGGGGATTTCCAGTGTTTGCTGGGGGTTGGGACGCCCACCTGCCACCTGCCTGCAGCCCAGGCTCCTGTTTCCTTCTTGCATCACAATGGGAACCTGGGTGCTCCCGGGCTCTGTCTGGAATCTCCGAGGGGCTCCCAGAAGGAGGTGGCTGTAATAGGGCAGGCTGGGGGTGTGGGGAGGGGGCAAGTTAAGGAAGGGGCTGTAAAAGACCCCTTTGGTCTTTAATGTCAGACATTAAGTCATCTCGGGGCTTGTCACAGACAGCAGGTGGCAGAGCAGGGGGAGGCAGTGAGACGCAACAGACGGACACTGCAGGGTGCCCGGGCCAAGGTGGCTGACAGTTGGTCAGGTACAAATTGCTAAACACTCCCTGGCTAGTGGTGACAGGGACCCAGAAGGCCAGCTCTATCTGAGGCCAGGAAAGAACAACTTGCTGCCCAGGAGAGGACCCTTGCCCTCCACCAGGAGGGGTCTGCTTCAGGAGGGCTTGGGGGAAGACACCAGTTTTCTCCTGGACTTGAGGGCAGAGCAGGCAGGTTTCTCAAAGTTCCAGAAAACAGGCAAGAAGTCAGAGACAAATGGAGCCACCTGGAGAAACCAGACAGGAGACAGGGCCTGGGGCAGTGAGAGCCGAGAGTGACCATGACCAGAGAGCAGGACCTTTGGCAAGGGAGACACGAAAGACCCTTCACACACACCACAGCTCTGAGCCAGCAATGGCTGTCTGGGTCTATAAGCCTCAGAGGGAGGGCCACAAGCTCCAGCATGGGACCAGCACACAGTAGGTGCTCAATAAATGATTGAAATAACAGCAAAGGGGCAGCATGCACAATCCTGAGCCAAAGAGCCAGGACAAAGGAGAAAGCAGGCTCCAGCCAGGCCCAGAGATGACCCCAGCGCAGCAAGGATGTCAACCCAGAGTTGAGGAGGGGACCAGGCTGGCTCATGCCACACCCCTCCCTGCCTACACTCCTCATCCGCCAGAGGAACTGAGTCATGGGCCTGGTGCAGGGGGCCTCAGCCCTGCCCTGCACAAGGGGAGAGGAGCTGTGGCCCCTCTGCTGACGTGACACAAACCCTCATTTATACAACACGGGCGGGAGTGGGCTCAGCAGAGGGTGGGGCTGGCCTGCAAGGTCTGTGTTTTCTCAGCTGTCTGCTCCTGAGAGGCCTCTTATCAAGGCAGACAACCTGCTGGTTACCTCCCAGCTTCCTACCAAGCCTGGCCAACGTGACCATCAGCTGTCTTCTGAGGAAAAGAGGGCTCTCCCAAAGGCAAGGCCGAAGTACTGCTGTGTGGGGAAGGCGCAAGGGCCTGGGACTCACAGGGCCTCAAGGAAAGCCCAGCAGCCAGCAGGGTGGCCCCAGGGAGCACCCCCTTTGGAGTCCCCCTCCCCATTCTGCCCTCAGCACATCTTCTTCCCAGGCAGCCAGATCCTGGCTATACGACCACCAACAACCTGTCCTGTCTGGCCCTGTCCACACTGCCCTGCCTCCACTGCCAAGTCTTCAAATCCAGGTCCTTCTGCAACTGAGGGGCAGTAATAGCCACTGAGAACATGGATTCTCAAGCCAGACATCACCTAGCCCAGTGGGCAACCTTGGACAAGTCTCTCAACTTCTCTGTGCTTCTCGATTTCCACATCTGTATAATGAGGCTACTTCATCAAAGTTGTCTTGGAGATTAAATGAGATGATACATGTGAACTGCTTAGAACAGGACCTAGCACATGACTGGAATGAAAGGTCTGGGAAGGCAGGGATGTTTGTCTGTTGTGGTTAGTGCTGTACTACCAGTGCTTAGAATAGTGCTTGGCACATAGTAGGTGCTCGGTAAATACACATAGGAAGAATGTTGAATGCAAGAGGCGTTTGTCTGTTGTGGTCAGCGCTGTACTACCAGTGCTTAGAACAGTGCTTGGCACATAGTAGGTGCTCGGTAAATACACATAGGAAGAATGTTGAATGCAAGAGGGCCCGGGCAGAGCAGGCTCTGTGGGGCAGGTGGGTAAGCAGAATGTGAGGTGGGGGGGTGGGGCCGGGGTGCACTGTAGGACACTCACTCCCACCAAAGGCGGGGGCTGCCACTCAACCCCAGGAAGTGGGTGCCATGTGGGAATGTTGGTCCAGATGTGCCACATCTTCCAATATTTTGACAAAAAGGAAGTCCAAATCTTCACTAAGATTTAAATGTTGGCAATTAATTTGAGTTTAAAAGCAGGCCAATAGAATTAATAAAAAAATTCAGCAAAGTTGCAGGATAGAAAATCAAAACAAAAACTCAGTTGTGTTTCTACAGCTAACAATGAGCAATCTTAAAAGGAAATTAAGAAAACAATTTCAGGGCCAGCCCATGGCTCACTCAGCAGAGTGCGGTGCTGATAACACCAAGGCCATGGGTTCGGATCCCACGTAGGGATGGCCGGTTAGCTCACTGGGTGAGCGTGGTGCTGACAACCCCAAGTCAAGGGTTAAGATCCCTTATGGTCATCTTTAAAAAAAAAAAAATCGTATAACTTCGTATAATGTATGC